GTGATACTGGGAGCACTGGGGCCGCCCCTCCCCCAATGAGTCAGGGCTGCAGCACCTGGAGCTTTATTGGGGACACGGGGGAGGGGACAGGTGACACCAGGGACAGGTGACAGGTCAGGTGACACAGGTGAGGTGACACAGGTGCCAGGTGTGTCCCAGATGTCCCCAGGTGTGTCCCAGGTGTGTCCCAGGTGCCTCCAGGTGTCCCCAGATGTGCTCCAGGTGTCCCCAGGTGTGTCCCAGGTGCCTCCAGGTGTCCCCAGATGTGCTCCAGGTGTCCCCAGGTGTCCCCAGGTGTCTCAGGTGGCCACGGGGGGCAGCCCCACCTGAGCCGTCAGCACAGGCCCCTCCCGGCCTGGGAGCAGCACCAGCACCTGGGGGAGGGGAGGGCACCGTGTCACCCCCCAGGTGTCCCCAGGTGTCCCCCCAGGTGTCCCCTGACCCCTCCCAGGTGTGTCCCAGATGTCCCCAGGTGTGCTCCAGGTGTCCCCAGGTGTCCCCCCAGGTGTCCCCTGACCCCTCCCAGGTGTCCCCTGACCCCTCCCAGGTGTGTCTCAGGTGTCCCCTGACCCCCCCAGGTGTCCCCTGACCCCCCCCAGGTGTCCCCAGGTGTGTCCCAGGTGTCCCCTGACCCCCCCCAGGTGTCCCCAGGTGTGTCCCAGGTGTCCCCTGACCCTCCCAGGTGTCCCCTGACCCTCCCAGGTGTCCCCTGACCCCTCCCAGGTGTGTCCCAGGTGTCCCCTGACCCCCCCCAGGTGTCCCCAGGTGTCCCCTCCCCCCTCACCTGCAGCCTCCCCGGCCCCTCCCCCGGCTCCAGCCAGGTACCGAACAGGTAACGCAGCCCCGGCAGCAGCAGCGGCACCTGAGGGGAACAAAGCCCGAAAATTCGGGAGAGATCCCAAAAAACTGGGGGAAAAATCCCAAAATTTGGGGCAAAATCCCAAAATTGGGGCAGAAATCCCTGAAAATTGGGGAAAAAAATCCCCAAAATTGAGGAGAAATCTCAAAAATTTGGGAGAGATCCCCCAAAAATTGGGGAAAAATCCCCAAAATTGAAGGAGGAAGAAATTCTGGGAATGTTCAGAATTAAGGGGGAACCGAAACTTGGGGATTTTGGGGATTTTGGGGGGATTTGGGGGGATTTTGGTGCGTTTTGGGTCACTTTGGTGGGATTTGGAGGGATTTTTGGTGTCTTTTGGGGAATTTTGGGGTGTTCTGAGGTGTTTTTGGTGCATTTTGTTGTGGTTTTGGTGTATTTCGTTGTGGTTTTGGGGTGTTTTGTTGTGTTTTTGGTGTATTTTGTGTTTTTGGTGTATTTTGTTGTGTTTTTGGTGTATTTCGTTGTGTTTTTGGTGTATTTTGTTGTGGTTTTGGTGTATTTCATTGTGGTTTTGGGCTGTTTCTGGGTGTTTGGGGGGGTTTTTTTGGTACTTTGTGGTTGTTTTTTGGTGTTTCAGGGCGTTTTGGTGTGTTTTGCTGTGTTTTTTGGGTGTTTTTGTTGTATTTTTTGTGGTTTTGGGTGTCTCAGGGTATTTTTGGGTGTTTTGGTGCGTTTTGTTGTGTTTTTGGGTGTTTCAGGGTGTTTTTGTTGCGTTTTTGGGGTGTTTTTGGGTGTTTTTTGATGGTTTTGGGATGTTTTGGGGTATTTTGTTGTGTTTTTGGTGTATTTTGTTGTGGTTTTGGTGTATTTCATTGTGGTTTTGGGCTGTTTCTGGGTGTTTGGGGGGTTTTTTTTGGTACTTTGTGGTTTTTTGGTGTTTCAGGGTGTTTTGGTGTGTTTTGCTGTGTTTTTTGGGTGTTTTTGTTGTATTTTTTGTGGTTTTGGGTGTCTCAGGGTATTTTTGGGTGTTTTGGTGCGTTTTGTTGTGTTTTTGGGTGTTTCAGGGTGTTTTTGTTGCGTTTTTGGGGTGTTTTTGGGTGTTTTTTGATGGTTTTGGGATGTTTTGGGGTATTTTGTTGTGTTTTTTGGGTGTTCTTGGGTGTTTTTGGGTGTTTCAAAGTGTTTTAGGGTGTTTTTAGGGTGTTTTTTTGGGTGTTTTTGGGTGTTTCAGGGTGTTTTTTGTGTGTTTTGGGGTGTTTTTGTTGTGTTTTTGGGGTGTTTTTGGGTGTTTTTGAGTGTTTCAGGGTGTTTTGGGGTGTATTGGGGTGGTTTTTGGGTGTTTCAGGGTGTTTTGGGTGTTTTTTTGGTGTTTTGGGGTGTTTCAGGGTGTTTTGGAGTGTTTTGGGGTGTTTCAGTGTGTTTTTTGGGGTGTTTTTGGGGTGTTTTTGGATTTTTTTTGGGGTGTTTCAGGGTGTTTTGGGGTGTTTTTTGGGTGTTTTTGGATTTTTTTTGGGTGTTTCAGGGTGTTTCGGGGTGTTTTGGGGTGTTTCAGTGTGGTTTTTGGGGTGTTTTTTGGGTGTTTTGGGGTGTTTCAGGGTGTTTTTGTTGTGTTTTTGTTGTGTTTTTGGGTGTTTGGGGGTGTTTTCGGGGGTACCTTGATGCAGGGGGGCTGCAGCCGTTTCGGGGGGGGGTGGCAGCGCAGCAGCAGCAGCAGCTCCGGGCTCGGGGGGGCCCCCCCGGGCAGCAGCACCCCCAAAGTCAGGCGCAGGCGGGGGCCCAGCCCCTGCACCTGGGGGGGGGCAAAAAGGGGGCTCGGGGACCCCAAAAACTCCCCCCAAAAATCCCAAATCACCCCCAGGGACCCCAAAATTCCTTCATGGACCCCTGGAGACCCCAAAATCAACCCCGGGGAGCCCAAACCCCTCCCTGAGAACCCCTGAAATCTCACAAAGACCCCAAATCCTTCCCCAGGGACCCCCAAATCCCCCCTCTGGAGACCCCAAATCCCACTGGGACCCCCAAATCCCACTGGGACCCCCAAATCCCACTGGGACCCCCAAATCCCCCCTCAAGAGACCCCAAATCCCACTGGGACCCCCAAATCCTTCCCCAGGGACCCCCAACTCCCCC